CTACTTTTGTCTTTTCGTTTCAATGAGAATTTTGCACACAAGGGTAGGAAAAGCGAATCTGTAGCTTAGTCTATATCTTAAATAGTAATCTCCATACAACATCTTAATAAACTAGTATTTTATTTTTGAAAAAGGTGGGGTTTGTTGGGGAGCTGGCGTAGTTATAAATAAAAGCATTTCAAGGAAAGGCTAAGCTGCACTTCTGCATATCTTGAATACAAAGGAACAAGTCTGACACCAAAAACTGGGACCAACCAAAAGGAAGGCTCTCTCTGGCACTGCAAGTCTGAGTGACACCTGGAGATGGGAACTTGGGTCTGACAGTTCAGAGCAGTTGGTAGGCATGAGAAAGGGGGAAGTGGGGACAAGGTTTTGCTCTGCATTGATTCTGTACCTGTTGTGCTATCAGGGAGCTGGCCCTGGCCATAAGAACCTGGGACCTGCCTGTTTTCCCCTAAATCATTTGTAAATTTCTGGGTATAAATATATAATGTATAAACCTGGGCTTCTCTAACCTGGGTAGACTCCATTTGTCAGAAGGCACTTTGCTGATAACAGACTCCTGACTCAGCTACTGTCAAGCACCAATGTTCGTGGCATCCTTCAACCACAGCAGGCTACCTAAAATTCACCTTAAATGGACTTTATTTCTTTTCTCCCTTTACTTAAATGGTTTATCTATTCAATAGCATGTTATATATGCTTGATTCATGTTTTCCCATTCCGTTTCTCTAATGAGCCAAAGTATTCCCCCCCAAAAAAGCTTTGCACAGTAAAATAACCATTAGAATGAAGAAAAGGCCTATGAAATGGGAGAAAATATTTGCAAACAAGAGGTCAACATCCAGTAATACATGGAACTAAACAAAAACAACAGAAAAAAACAATAGGAAAAAAGACATTTTTCAAATACAAATGAGACATACAAATGAGTCACAGGTATATGTAAAACTGTTCAACACTAGTCTTTAGGAAAATGCAAATCAAAACAATGAGCTATCACCCCACTCCAGAAAGAAGGGCAATAAAACAAGAAGACCATTTTCCTACTCCTTGATATTTATCCAAAAGAAATAAAATCAGCATACTATAGTGATACAGCCACATCAGTGTTCATAGCAGCATAATTCATAATAGCCAAATTATGGAACCATCCCAAATGCTATCAATAGATAAGTGGATGTGATATATACATATGTGTGTATGTGTATATGTGTGTGTGTGTATATATATATATATATATATATATATATATATATGCATGCAATGACATTTTATCCAGCCATAGAGAATGAAATTATAACATTGGTTGGTAAAGGGATGGAATTGAAAACATCATGCTAAGTGAAATAAGCCTAACTCAGAAAATCAAGGTTCGAATACTTGTTGTCATATGCAAAAGCTAGAGTAAAATGAGAAAAGGGGTGGTGGTGAGATTTCATAAAAATGTAGTGAAGACAGTGAAGTAGGAGATGGAAAGGGAGGAAATGTGGAATAAACTTAACAAAATCACACTATGTGCATGTATAAATATACCACAGTGAATTCCTTTATATGTATCTATAAAGCACCAATCAAAAATAAATAAATGAGTGAAAGGAGACCAATAAGAGTAAGGAGAATAGAAGGGAGGAGGGAAGGGATGATGGGGGGTATTGGGGACTGAAATGGAGTAAATCGAATTACATTCATGTATGATTTTGTCCAAATGAACACAACAATTATGCACGAATAAAAGAAAAAAAATATTATCTGGAACTTCAGAGTAGAACAGAGGATATTAGAGGTGGCAGGGATAGGGGGAAAGTGGTGGATAAGGAGGAGAGATGGATGGGGAAAGGTTTTCAATGGATACCAAGTTACCACTAAACATGAGTGAGACTCTCTGGTGCAGCATAGCAAGGTAGAGTAACTATTGGATAACAATTAAGTACAGTATATCTCAAAAAGCAAGAAAGAAACTGAATGTTTCCACCATGAAAACAATGAAAAATGTTTAGGGAGACAGACATGTTTAACCTGAATTAAACATTATACAATGTACGCATAAATGAAAAATCACATCAATGTGTAATTATTTTTATCAGTTAAAAAATAAAAAAATAATGTGGACTCAAATTAAGAAAAAATTAGAATGTAGAATGGATGATTGTCTAAGCATAAAATAAAACCCAGAAATTAGCAAATAAATGGCTGATATTATAAAAATGGATAAACAACTATATTCCTACCAAAATTCTGAAGAATTAGTACCACAACCAGGGGACATGTTGGTAAAATGTGCATTTTTTTTTCAAAAATATTAACTTTCAAGGACATTTAGTCAGGTTAGCATTCATTTTTCTCAAACAATGGCTTAGAGATATAATGCCGACACTTGAGAGAAAATAATCCAAGATTACCATATCTTCACAATCTTGAGTGAAAGTTTCAGAAAAGTCCTTACTCAACTAACTGCCTCAGAAACAGAATTACAAAGGGATGAGAGAAAGAATGCTTTGATGTGACATTATGTAGACAACCATCACTACCCTAGCTCAAATTTTCTTTCCAGTTTTAAATTATCCTACTTGACCACTCATTTCAGGTTTAGATTCTTACTCAGTATACTTATTTTGGAAGGATCCATTTCACATGCTAAGGAGAGACATGATCTCTGCCTAATCCAAGATGAGGTAAAATTCTCTCTTGTACATAATCTAATCTCTGAATAGAGAAAGTAGCCCCATGGTTGGTGATCATAGGAACAGAAAGTCAGGATTGACATAAATTGTAGTTGAAAAAAACTATTAACACCAAGACTAAATTACAGAGTTAAATAAAATGCTAATACCTAGTGAGCAATTGCTGATAAATCTAAATAATTAGGGTGATTGAAAGATCCCAGAGGATGGAAGTCTTAATTATTTATTAAAGAGAATTAATAAATAATAGGAAAGAAAAACTAGAGAGAATTTCTTGACTAAGAATACGCAAGAATCCAAGGTTATATTGTTTTTATATAGAAATGGGACAAAGTATTAAAAATTTAAAATGTTAGAAAATATAACTAAAAACTAAACATAAAGTTTAACATCCACATTCTGATAAAAGACAAACATATAGCAAAGGGGAAAACTAAAAGTTGCAACTATAAAGTTTTTAAAACAGTATAAAAAGGCAAACCCAGAGTAAAATTTTTTTTAATGTTAATGGACCTTGATTTTATTTCTTTATATGCAGTGCTGAGAATCAAACCCAGCACCTCCCACATGCTAGGCAAGCACTTTACCACTGAGCCACGACCCCAGCCCCCAAATTTATTTATATTCTATAAAAATCCACATACACACAAGGTCTAAATTCACCTATTAAAAATATTTCAAATTCCACCTCAAGTTTCAGTGTTTATTCAACAAAACATTAGAACTTGAATGTAAAACAAGCATACATGTCTGTATGGTTTAGTGATCTGTGTTCAGCATCTAGAACACTCCGGCATTCAATTTTTGAAGGAATGAACGGGAAAAGAATGCTAACAAAAAACTAAAACTGCCTACTGCCCAGTGTTGCCACAGTGCAGATAAACAGTCCCTTTCATTTAGTACATACGAAAATTCTAAACAGGCACTATTTTCCTAGAAGACAATTTAGACATGCTAAAAGATTTTAAAATATGCATATTCTTATTCCAAGAATTCTACTAAAAAATTTATATATATAAATTTGTATATATATTTATGTGTGTATACACACACACACACACAAAATCACTAAATGACAGTCAACATATTTTTGTTTATAATAAACAAAAGATACCCTAATATTTACCCTAAATGAACTCTAACAGAAGATCAAATCAATTATCCAGTTCATCCAATCAATGGACTCCTATGCAATCTTATAGACTATTGTAGACATTTGTTAACATGGAAAGTGATAATATAGTTGAAAGAGCAGACTACGTAAGAGAATGCTAATATAATCCCCACTTCTATATTTAAAAAATACCTAAAATAATTTCTGCTGAAATAATGTGTACCCCACACTTGTACATTGCTGGTGGGACTGCAAATTAGTGCGGCCAATTTGGAAAGCAGTATGGAGATTCCTTGGAAAGCTGGGAATGGAACCACCATTTGACCCAGCTATAGCCCTTCTCGGACTATTCCCTGAGGACCTTAAAAGAGCATACTATAGGGATACTGCCACATCAATGATCATAGCAGCACAATTCACAATAGCTAGACTGTGGAACCAACCTAGATGCCCTTCAATAGATGAATGGATAAAAAAAATGTGGCATTTATACACAATGGAGTATTACGCAGCACTAAAAACTGACAAAATCATGGCATTTGCAGGGAAATGGATGGCACTAGAGCACATTATGCTAAGTGAAGCTAGCCAATTCCTAAAAAACAAATGCCAAATGTCTTCTTTGATATAAGGAGAGCAACTAAGAAGAGTAGGGAGGAAGAGCATGAGAAGAAGATTAACATTAAACAGGGATGAGAGGTGGGAGGGAAAGGAAGAGAAGGGAAATTGCACGGAAGATGGAAGAAGACCCTCATTTTTCTACAAAATTACATATAAGAGGAAGTGAGGGGAAAGGGGAAAAAAGGGAGAGAAATGAATTACAGTAGATGGGGTAGAGAGAGAAGATGGGAGGGGAGGGGAGGGGAGGGGAGGGGGGACAGTAGAGGATAGGAAAGGCAGCAGAATACAACAGACACTAGTATGGCAGTATGTAAAAACGTGGATGTATAACCGATGTGATTCTGCAATCTGTACACGGGGTAAAAATGGGAGTTCATAACCCACTTGAATCAAATGTATGAAATATGTCAAGAGCTATGTAATGTTTTGAACAACTGAAAAAAAAGAAAAGAAATAATGTGTACCCCAAAGTGGTAATATAAAAGTGATCAGTTTTATTTGTACATGAACATGTATTTATAAAAAATGGTCCATTATAGAAATCTGAAAACATTTATTTTTTAAATAGAGCAATGCTACAGGCTGTGAAGTAATATCAGATATAGTATTAATGATAAACACCATATTAATGATAAACATCCCCTGAAAAAATATATTATTATTCACCTTTTGGTTATGTGGATATGTCTCTGATACTAGATTATACCTTGCCATTTCTGAACATGTTTTTATTAGTTTGTTTTGGTAAGGAAAGAAAATCACAAAATAGGTTATAGTCCAGCAGAAGAAAGTAAAAACTGGTACTTTCATTTTAATTTTTGGTGAGATTTTAAATCTATCTAAACAGTAAGCAATGTTGCTTTGAATGTAAACCATTATACTAGCCAACATTAAAAATTATGGGGCTTTCAGACAGAACTTTCTTCAATAAAAAGTGAATAAAATTAGACATATCCTAAATGCAATCTTCAGATTATTTGAGCTTACTATTCATATTATACATCTTCAATGACTTCACAGAAACTGAACAAAAATTTCATTCTCATTCTATTTATATAGGCTTACACATTAAATAATAGGAAGGCAAAAACATGTATTAACATAAGCTATGTAGATCATAAAAATCTGAGTTATTGTTTGTCTTATTTGAGGTACAATTCAGATTTTTTTAAAAAAAGCAATTAGTACACTCCCAGCATTCTATGCTAAAATCCAAAAAAGAATGTACTACAAAGAAGCCACCTTTTAATTTCAAGTGTCCCATTTACTTTCCACAACCAAATGTTTTGTTCCAGTTTTCATAAAGCTCTAAATCTTTTGGAGACACACTAGGTCGCACAGTTCTAAAAGCATTTTCAAAATCAATATAAGCTATGGGTCGAACTTGATCTGGTGTTATGGTAGCAATGTCAGCAGTTTGTAAACTGCGAATAGGGCCAAGAGAAGCCTCTCTACAAAGTTGTGTCATGTCTGCTCCAGAGAATCCATCAGACTGCTGGACAACCCATTCAATTTCTTCTTCACTGAGGTGACACTGCTCCTTGGACATTAGATTAATTACTATCTGCTTCCTGCCTGAAGCTTCTGGGAGAGGAATATAAAGCCTTTTCACCAATCTTCTCCGGGCAGCCTCATCAATCTCTTGTGGCCGATTTGTTGCTCCCACCACTAGAATGCGGTCTTCAGAAGATGTCGTTGCTCCATCTAACTGAACTAAAAACTCAGTTTTTATTCTTCTAGAAGATTCATGTTCACCATCTCCTCGTTGAGATAACAGGGAATCAATTTCATCAATAAATATCACAGCTGGTTGCTGACACCTTGCAACAGCAAACAAAGCCCGTACCATTTTCTCCCCCTCACCTACCCATTTAGAAGTCAAGGATGAAGCAGAAATGCTAAAGAATGTTGCCCCAGACTGACTAGCAATGCACTTTCCAATTAGAGTTTTACCAGTCCCAGGAGGACCGAAGAGCAGAATTCCTTTCGGAGGTCCCCGTAACCCAGTGAAGATGTCTGGCCTCATCATGGGCCACACAACTATTTCCTTTATTGTGGCTTTTGCAAATTCCACTCCTGCAATATCTTCCCAATGTACTGGAGGCCCATGATCCATGATCTCACTCATAATAAGTTCAATCATCTTTGGCTCTAAGTTCTTCAGACGCTCATCAATGGGATGTGCTGGTTCTGCAGTTCCTGCCCCATAAGGCTTATACTGCATTCCTCCATTATGTTCTCCCCCATCTTGCTTAGGTATAGGAGGAACAAATTTTCCAAATATCCCTCGAGATCTACCAGCTCCCAGAGACTTTTTAACACTACCATAGGAAGACCCTGATGCACGCTGGAGTTGGTGGCCCTTTTTTTGTTGATCTACCCATAATTGTTCTTTTGCAGTTTTAAAGGTGGGCAGATTGCTATCCTCCCTTTGGCCATTATCTTCCATTTTACTAAAACCCTTATTCAGTACTGGATTGGAAAGGGTATCAATGATTCCAGAATCATAAAAACCCTTCCTTTCCCGTGGATTTTCAGAGCCAGAAGGAAAACAAGACTGATTAGATGAGAACATATTTAGTCCTATGTTGGCTTTGGGAAAGCTGTGATTTTCCTTTTTGACATTTCCAAATAATGGTGCAGCATGTACTTTTGCAGTGGATGACTCACCTAAAGGCACTGAAGACATGCAACAAGTCTTAGTGGTGGTGTTAGTCACTACAGGTGGCTGGACAACCTGAGGGCACCTCAAAGGGTTGTTTCCTGGGTTGTCTTGGACCCTATCTGTGTCATGAATTAAGTTAGGTAATAGGTCACCCTCTCCAGGAGCTCCACGAACATTAAATTTAGGAAGATCAAAGGCAGCAACCTCCTTGTGGATTATTACTGATGCATCACCAGGTTCCAAAATAGAATCTTTAAATTTTTTGCCAGCTTGCATCATCTTCTGTACATTATCCATTTTGAAAACATTATTTATTGACAACCCAGACTGCCACTTTTCACTGTTAGTTTGAGATCTTGCCAAAGCTAAAATGTTTTCTGCATAGTTATTCAAGCCAGTTTCAACATTGTCAGAATCAACAATTGCAGAATATTTCTCTGCGTATCTTTTGAACAATCTGGTAGCACAGACCTGGGAGATCTCAGAGTTTGCCCATGCATACTGAATGCGTAATATCTGTGCACGATACGCATCAGCCCTCTGTCCTGATGTACATATGTCAGATGTAATTGCAAAGTAATTCTTCTGCCATTCACTCAGATGTATAGACCTAGAGCTGGAGGTCTGCATGTTCGAGTTTCTATAACAAATGGCAAAAATGAAAACAAATCAGTAGCAAGAAGAAAACAAACACAATGCTTTGAATGTAGCTTTAAAAAATCTCTGGTAAGAAAGGCACACTGGATTTTATATATATATATATAAATTTTTAATATAAAGATATATTAATATAATCTCAAAATTAAAGATTTCATAGTGATTTTTATGAGTAAAACTATTTTAATTATATAACAATTTCCCCCCAAAACAGAGAAAAGCATTTGTAAGGTTTAAATGGAAAAAATTTAAAACTAATCACCAAAAGAAAGGCAATATGAAAGAACAAAGGAATGGCAGATACAGACAACAAACCAGAGTTTACATGTAGCCTCTTTAAATAAATAAATAAAATAAGAGATAGACTGAGCAAGGCTTTTACTATCTCTGGGTTTCCTTATCTGTCAAGTGAAAGGAACCATTTTGACAACCAAGTCAGTAATGAATATGAAAACAGTCTGAAAACTACTAATGCTATTTCTATTGTAAAAATGTAGAAACTGAAGCTGAGAGAGTTAAGAAACTTACTGGAAATCACAGAGACAGTTATGAATCAAGCCACAATCAAATATACAGTTTCATTCTGGGTGCTTGTGCACTTTCCCATGTACTTAGTGTTCCTTGATGCTTCCAAATGTCACAGATTGAGCTGCACAGATCATAAATATGGAATAATTAATGTTTTAATGACTTACTCATAAATAAATCACATAAAAAAGTTGCAGAATCACAATTTCCCAATTTCACATAAAGTATTAACAATTGAAAGTGTTATGACACATGAATTATGAGAACAAGCCAAATCATCTACTACAAAATGCTTTTTACTTTAGATTTTTTCTCAGGTTATTTTCATCAACCTCTTCACATTTATACCTGAACAGAATCATAGATGAAAGTATCATGTTGTTGGACCTAAGAATTTACCTACAAAAACAAGTTATGAGAAATCTTTTCAGTTTCCTAAGAGTACTTCAATAAATTAAAAATTAAGAATTTAAGTATTTTAAATTTTCCCTCCCAAATTACCTGGAGGTATAGCTTAATTATCAATAAATTCTTTTTGTGCAAGAGCCATGTTCAATACAATTTTGCACATCCAACAATGCCTTGCAAACTATTTGTCACATTATAGATAGGTGTTCATAAATCTTTGTTTAAAAAAAAAAAGAGAAAACTTAACATCCATTGAGACTAATCTATTTAAAGCTTTAAAGCTTAATAAATTAGAATCAACACTATGCAAGCATTCCTCCTGAAAAGCAGGTCACCCTGCTTTCACCATACCATTTTGCTCTTATTTTAATCTCCTTTATACAATACTGGAATCAAGAAATTGAGAGAAATAATTTGGAAAATATTTATCACAATTACGATAATAAATATTTCCACAACTTTTATAATAATCCTCTTCCTCTGCATGACTTCATTCCAGTTTATCATGTGCAATCCTGGAATAATTCCAACCTCTCAGAGTTCTAGTCACTATTTTCAGGAAACTCTCCTTTCTCCTTTCCGTTATCAACTTTTCTTCAATATTCATCTCCCAAGTCTTTCTTCTTCCTTTAATTCAATTATCTATCCAACAATTATAAAGACAGTTAACCCAAAACTGGCCATCACTACTAAATGGCAGTTTTATCCTATTTACCATTTCTAAGTCAATTTAACTTTTATGGCCTTTCCTAGACTTAAAAATTATGGTTAATTAGCATTGACATAAGAACTGTTTCAAAATTCCCTTTATTTATAATTTTCTAATTATCCACTGAATATATTTGCCTTCCAAACTGGATAGTTAGCTTCTGCTAATAGGAACTATTTTTCTATCACATTTACATTCTCTCAAAACATAGACTATCTGGTATCCACTAAAATAATAGCAATAGAGTACTGGTACAGCTCCTACCATATGGCAGACACTGTATAGGTCCTTTATAGAACTATTTCCCAAAGGCAAAAATAGCACAGGAAATAAGAGCACAGGATCTGAATACTGGCTGACTATGTTCAGATACTGGCTCCATTATCATCCAGCACTGACCTTGGGTAGGTCTCTTAATGTGTGTCTGTTTTCACATATTTGAAAAAAAAAAAAATGCAACTAACTAGCTGACACCGTCTTTTAGTTCTGCAAAACACTTCTCAGCAATAGATAAAATATGTCTTATTATTCTTCACAATGAGATATTAGCATTTCTTTCTCACCACAGAAGTTAACCGACTGCCTCAATCTATAGGAAATACATATGGTCAGGGACCAGCAGAAAGCAGCTCTGACTTACTGCAGGTTGCACATCCCTTATCCAAAATGCTTAAGACCAGAAGTGTTTATGATTTCTGAAAATAAAAAAATTCGTGGCGTGTGTGTGTGTGTGTGTATATATATGAATACTGGGTGTATACACACACATATGCATATATATAAATACACGTGTATATATAAGATGAACTATCTTAGGGAGAGACCTACATATGTACCTTATAAGCACAGCCTGAAGGTTAATTTTATACAATATTAACAATTTTGTTAAGGAAAGTTTCATGGTGCAACGTTTTCCACGTGTAATGTCGTGTAAGGGCTCAAAAAGTTTCAGACTCTGCAGCAATACGGGTTTTCTGATGAAGGATGTTCTACCTGTACTACGAGTATTGCCGATAATGGTAGAAGATACTGAGACTCAGTACGTTTACACAATAATGGCTCCAGCCCTCCCAGTCTTTGCTGAAGTTAGCGGTGGCAGACACAGCCCCAAACCTGTCCTCAACCGCACCCAACCGCTCTCAGCCCGCCGCCAAGCCCACTCCGGTTTACCAATCGTCACCTCATCCTAACTTCCCAAGACCACACCGTCCCGTACGACAAACGTGAAAGAATGGGGCACGGAAGATACAGCCCCAAAAGAAAACCCGCAGCCACTTGCTGGACTCTGACCTGTCACTGGCCTCCCACGGAGCCCCTGCTCGCGCCCCACAGGCCCACAGAGATTTTTCTGCAGACTACCTGCCAGGCGCCCGAGTCTCCAACCCCGCGGGACTCACCACAGCCTACTTGCAGCTGGCCGAGTCGCTCTCAGCCTCCGAAAAGCGCGGGGTCCGACGTGCGCCTGCGTAGCGTGACGTGCTCGTGCCCGCGCCGTGCGTGCATGCGTGCGAGCGGGGGCGCGTGCGCGGCGGAGGCGGGGGCGCGCGCCAGGCCGCGGCTCTATGGGGGGCCGCGAGCGGGTTTTTTTTTTTTTCTTTTCCTTTTCATTCATTCATTCATGCATTCTTTCTCTCACTTTCTTTTTCTTGTCTTTTTGTTTATTTATTTTTGCGGTGCTGGATGGTGACATTTTGATAAAGGAGACTTGTTGCAGATATTCTGCGAACGGAGACTTGCGATCTGTCCAGCCGGGGCGGATTTACCTTAAGTGATGTGGATGGATTTACCTTAAGTGTCTTCGTTTCAATGAGTTGAAGCATAAATTTTTAAAGTGCTCCAAAATAGAGAGAAGTAGTGATGAGAGCTGAATGAAATTTCGAAGGATTCCGATAGATTGTGATTTTCCAGGACTCACCTGGGTGAGCAAACCGCCCGCCTTCTGCGCTAGAAGCAAAGAGGGGTGGGGGCATGCGGGGGTGGAGGAGTGACTGCGTTTAAGTTAGGAATTATTCAAGACGTCCTTAGGCTGAGTCCTGGGGCCTGCCAACCCCTTGCCTTCGCTGTAGCCTGGGGATCTCTCTCCTCGCGGACCATTAGTAGGTTCCCTATCTCCTCCTCTTTCAGACAGAAATAATCTGTGACTCAGAATGCTATTGTAAAGTCCACAATCAATTGGAGATATCAAAGCAGTAACTGGCACGTGGCAGACATTTAACAGAAGATGTGATATCTTTTTTTTCTTTAATTTTTATTGTTACTAAAAATGCCATTACTGGGATTCAAAACCTTATGCTATACAAGACTTTTCCATCTTTTTAAAACCTGACATGTTGTAATAGCATCCTAATAATTTAACATAATATGAAAGCACTAGCTTGAGCTATATAAATATTAGTCTTTCCTTCCAAGAACACAGTGTAATAGACTCTTTTTTTTTCTCCTGGTTAGTAGTTAACCTTCAGGGAAGACGTTTCCATCTACTGCAGACAGAGTGCCAGTCCTTTTGGTGTGAGGGATTCTGGGAGCTATTTATTCATTTCCATATTCATGAATGCTGTAAACATGGTCTCTGGATAATGCTAGTGTTTGTTCAGTGAGCTCATTTGTTTTTGAACAGAGGGATAGTATGGCCCCAAATAATGTGCATCCTTTTCTGCCAGGAGATTTACTTTGTAAAAGTTTAGTGAGATGTGTTTGTAGGTGGGTTTGGGAGACCAATGCCTTGAGGAGATAGGAAAGCAGATAAGACAAATTTAAATCTAGTTCCTTTTCTGTGGGATTCCCTGAATGTAGCTAGATTCCCAATGATAACCCAAACCTTTCAGCTTCCTAATTCTGTGGTGAGGAAGAAGGCAGAATGAGGATTAAGAGACAGTATTTAGCCCTCCAATAAAGAAGACATGCTGCCCTGGAGTAGAGGAAATTCACAATTCTAGTGAGAGATTTTCATCAGCAGCACAGAAAATCATAAAGGGATACGAAGAGGCTATACCTGGCATCACCATCTTAAACAGAACCCATGAGTTGGGAGGTGGTACCTTTCCCTATGTCAGAAGACAGAATGCCCACAAATTTAACCGAAGTTCTAACTAGCTTTTATTTGCAGTTCATGAATTAGAGGCACGTTGAGCCAGAGGCACAATGAGTGCTTCCATTGGGCAAAAGCAGAAGGGTGGATTTTGTAAGGTCAGAATAGGGAAGCAGGACAATAGAAAAAGAACTGATGGGTTAACCTCAGGTTATGTCAAGTTACTTTTCAAGTAAGGGTTATAGTAGAGGGACTTGCTTATTCTGCTGACTCAGGTAAACTGAGTTCTCTCCAGTTAGTTTCCGTAAATATCCTGTTTCCAGGAAGAACTGGTCTGTTTGGGGATCCTCTTTCTTTAAAGTTTCAGTTTGATTACAGAGCACTTGGCATGAGTGACTCCATTTTGGTTTGGTCTGGTCTGTTGGGGCTTAGTGAAGGAGCTCAGCCCAAAATAATGGTCTCCTATATTTTTACTTAACACCTGATATGGGGCAGGGCAGAGTGGGAAGGAACAATCTACTTTGGTTATTTTCCTCCAGAACCATGCTACCAACCTGAGTCTGTCCTCTTAGGTGCTTCTAGTTTGATATGTTATGGGTTGAATTGTGTCCCCCACACAGTTATGTTGAAATCTTAACCCCTAATATCTGTATATCTGACCTTATTTGCAAATAGTGTCTTTAAAGAGTCTTAAACAAGTTAAGATGAGGTCATACTGGATTAGGGAAGTCAGTCATCCAATTGGTGTTCTTATAAACACAAGGAAGAGATACACAGAGGGAAGATGGCAGGCACAAGCAGATTGGAGTGATTCCTCAGAAGCCAGTGAATGTCTGGGGTTACCAGAAGTTGGACCTGGAGGTGAAGTGGCCTGGTGACACCTTAATTTGGGGCTTCTAGTCTCCAGAACTGTAAGAGAATAATTTTTTCTTGTTTAAAGACTCCAAGATTGTGGTACTTTGTTATTAGCTCCAGGAAACTAATACCTCTTCTTATAGCACCAGAGGAATTGTAAAGGGACAGGATCATAGGGCCTGTGGGGTTGATTTTCCAGGGTTCAAGTGCCTACTCTGCAGCTCACCAGTCACTACCAAGTGTTGCTGGGAATAAACATAGTCAGTGCCTAAATAGCACTTAGACCATTGCCTGGGCCCCAGTTAGCACTGCCTATGTGTTGGGGTTGTTATTATGTTGAAGCCATCCCTTTGTAACATGGAGGTTTCCCTGATTAGAGGTTAGTACTGAAAACTAACCTACCTTGTTGTAGTTTTTCCACATTTTAAGCTCCTTAATCTTGCTATTTAATAATGTAGCCAAATTCTCTTTTATTTTCACAGAATATCAGAATCTCAGGCATAAGAGAGGGCTTACATAGAAGGTTGCCTACTTTCTAGTCCAACTTCTGTCTCATGCAAGAATGTTCCTTACCACTTCCCAAACCTTGATTTTCCCCATCTCAACTTGAGTCTCCACAATGGTGGAGAATTCTCTCCCCTATAAGAAAACATATTTCATTTGCTGATGGGTTGACTTTTAAGTTTTTCTTCATGTTTAATAGACCTGTCTTTTTATCAGTCACTCTTTGGAGCTACAGAGAAGGCTTTCCAAATTAAAGTTGGAAGACAGCTAATCTCCTGCCTTCCATCTGTGCAATATCTCTAGTGCTACTTCTGCCTAGGCCCCTGTCTTGAATTTAGGTCTCAGCCATCTTCCCAAAGTATATTTATGATCCAGGCTGGATGGAGCTGCTGCAAAAATCTGAAGGCTAATAACAGTGACTAGTGGCTCATCTTGGAGTCTTATAGCCTTACCACTGAGCCATGTTCCCAGCCCTTTTTATTTTTTATTTTGAGACAGGATCTTGCTAATATGTTTAGAGCCTTGCTAAATTGCTGGGACTGGTCTTGAACTTGTGATTCTTCTGCCTCAGCCTCCAGAACCACTGGAATTATAGGTGTGTATCACTGTGCCAGGCTATAGCAATCTTGCCAGGCTACAGTAATCTTAACACAAGGACACACTCAGGTGCAAAAACATCTCATTGTAAAATTTAGGTGCTCCGGCCTCAACTCAATGATCTGAGGTCTCCACACCCACACACACTCTACCACATATAACCCCAGTGGAGCCTAATGGACCATCCCATGTCCCCACCCCATGACAGAACTCAGATCTGGTTCACTGATGAACAAATATCCTCCCAAAATCAGATGGAGAACTACATAGCATCTGGTGAATTTCCAGATTTAGGAATAACAGATCATATCATTCAATTACTTTACATAGTTATCAGTTATTATCTAGAGGATAATAACTAACCTTAGAATAACAACACGTTTCTAAAAGAAAAATGGTTCCAAATAAAGATAGGAACTTATTTCAATAAATACCACATCCTTATTAGAATTTATGTTTCTATGGGTGCTCTTCCATTGCTTATTAGTCATGATACAATATAGCAGATGGATTCATCAGACAAGAAAGCCATGGCCCAGAAAGTCATATAACTCTTGAGCTCATTGTTTGAATCCAGGTTGTCTAGTGTTCTGAATTTATTTCCCTAGAAGTTGAAGTCATCTCCAAGTAAGATGTGCTTTTGAATGCATCTAGAATAGATTTTTTTTAATGCATACAAGGCTCTCAATAACATATGTTTGAAAAAATGAATGAATTTGATAATATCCAAGAATGCTGTTTTGGGCTAGTTGAAAGAATAAGTTTATATCAAAAGATTCCATTGATATAATGTAGAACAAGATGATTACCCACCACAATTAGCATTTCACATCAACTGTTTATTAAGCATTTAGTCACATGACAGGATAATTTAGGAGCACAGGTATAATCTCTAGTTATGATCATAGACTGCCCTGGAAAATATTTCAATAAGCCTCTTTTGCCACACTGATTGATTCAAAAGCATGAAAACTTATGATTTTTAATCATGAAAAACCATAGTTAAATAAGAAATGAAAACTGTAGTCACTGAGATAAACTTTCCATATAGTAAATATTTGTTCACTGATGAGACGCTATGACAGGTCTGATTAACTTTGATTAATGTTAAAAGACATAATGACAGGTGTCTGGTTAACTTTGGAGCAGACATGGGAGATCACATACAGACTCAGTTCCACAGAATCAGGATGATATTTATTTTCTTCTTATTTCAGTTTTCAGATATATGTCCTTTCAACTTTTCATCTCTATAGAAAAAAAATACAATGAGCATATGGCTACATTAAGAAAATAAAGAATAAAAATTTGCATACTATTTCTCCAGTGAAGGAGGTCAATTGTAAATGTAAAATAGTTTGAATTGAAAGAAAGGAACTTTTATTAACAAACTGACAAATTTTATCAACATCAAATAGACTTTCTAATTTCCCACCCTCTGTAAAATAGAAACAGCTCCTACTTTCTCTTAGAACTGTGATTACCTAAAAATGATATGACAACATCAAGTAGTTACAAGTAAATCCAAGGTGTTAAGATTTTCATTATTCCAATTAATCTGGTCAAAACAATATACATGCATTATACTTTACTATGGTATCCTCTATATATTTGTTAAGAAAATTGAAGCTTATTTTTACCTTTTGAATCTGCAGCAAATAATGACACCACAGGAATTATGATTTCTATTGAAAATATGCCTGTGAGCTACAGTCTCCCCACGTTATTTTCCAGAGCTATAGTCTCTCTGTGTATCATTTTGAGCATATGGGAATAAGATTCTGACATAATAGATACTTGTTAGATATCTGCAATTATAGGTTTGCAGAAAGGCTAATCAGTAGTACTTGCTTGTAGGGTTGCTTGTTTTGTGTATACTAACATATGCTTAGAGCAATGGAATACTATCAAAGTATGAGCTTCTTCCTGATAACTTCCAGAGATATTGGATGTATGATCGAGTTGTTCTGGGGAGGGAGGTCTCTTAATTTAGGCGTGGAGGAAGGCCCTTACCACACCAGGAAAAGGGCCTTGTATTACTGGGCATATTTCCACTGAGAAGGTGGTTTCTTTGGCCTAACCTTACTGAAATCGACCATCCATAGGCTGTTCACTCATGTAATAAAATACAATTTTATTATTGGATTTTTTAAGCACTATATTTCAGGAATTCTCAATTAAAATTAGGAGCAAGGAAGATAAAGTTGCATGCAATTGGTCAAATAAATTACACTATACCCCTATGTTCTGCATCTATGATGGGTTATGAATGAGGTCAATGGAGAAATGAAGAGGAGAGAGACAAAGACAAGCAGAGGTTAGGGGGGTCTACTACCCTTCCCCCAAATGGGGCAAAAAGAAAGAAATGATAGACACAGAAAAAAGTAGAAAATTCCAATTGAATGACATTCTTGGTGGGGAGGGCTGCTGTTGGGTGTGTTCTTGTTTTTTAAATTGGTGCATTAAAATCATATATAATAGTGGAATTCATTATGCCATATTTGTACATGCACATAACATAATTTGGTTGATTTCATTCTCCAGTACCTTCCCTTTCTGAATGATATTCTTAAAATAATCTAATGAAGTCGTTTAAGATTGTTTTAACTCCCACACATATAATTTTAAATAGTCTTCCTGTTGCCAGTGCTGCGTTTGCTTAAAACATTGTCCTTATGAGTTACCTGTGTGCTCTCTGCAGGGCTTAATTGATGTAGTTAAAACCCCTCATTATTACCAAGAAGCCCAGTCGTCTAAATAGGCTCTTTCTCTAAACCATCAAGACCTGGGTCCTTCCTGACAGTAAATTATCACTCACATGAAATTCCTGTTTTATTGTTTTCATTTATCTAAAGCTTGCCAGTTTGATATATAAGCTCATTATGATAGCAAGTTAGCTTAATTAACTGGGGAAATCTGAAGGGAAAGAATGATAGAAAACGATGTTCTCATTTAAAATAAATAACCAAAAATCTGTAGAGAATCATTACAGATAGCACTCTTTCCACTCCTCTGGACCAAGCATGATAGAATTTTCTCTGACTTTACCAAAGAGAAAATTCGGTCCACAGCAGCGCTGAGGGGCAGAGCCAGAACTGAGCCAGTCGGGGATCCCCACTCTGACCCTGACTCCAGGAGGACAGGATGTTCCTGGCACACGTGGCTTACCTGCAGCGGGCTTCACTTTCACTCCTTCTCTGCTCTCAGCACGTCTTCCCCCAGCTCTCTGATGTGCTCCCAGGCAAATTGCACGTGGGCAGATTCCACCATGCTAGAGCAGATGGCAAAACGCAGCACGAACTTGTCTCGGAGGTGACACGGAACCAAGTGGATTTTTTTGGCATTGTTTATTCTTTGCAGAAGAGCTTCATTCAGTTGGTTGGAACCCTGGAGGGAGGGATTCGAAGGGAAAAAACTACGTTCACTCCTCTGAGGTCCCTAAAATTCAACTCATCTCATCATTGGGTAACACCAAGTCTGGTAAGACTAGGATGCCCGGTGAAAAAGACCTTCCCAATCCACCTTTCATTTACAGTGTTTTTAAGTTCCATAAAATAATAGTAACACAGGCTAAAAGACCATCTCCTCTCCTCACAAAAATCATTCCTCCAAGTTCTAATGTACTGTCTAAAGATGACCCCACCCCCCCACCGGGCGGGGTGGCACATACCTGTAATCCCAGCGGCTCAGGTGGCTGAGGCAGGAAGATAGCAAGTTCAAAGCCAGCCTCAGCAAAAGGGAGGAGCTACGCAACTCGGTGAGACCCTATCTCTAAATAATATATATATAAAAAATAGGGCTGGAAATGTGGTTCAGTGGCCCCTGAGTTAAATCCCCAGTACCTCCCACCCCCCCAAAAGATGACCCTCATATGGTCCAAGTTTGTTTAAGAAAAATGAAGATCCCTAGAGATGTCATCTACAAATGAATGAGTTTTGCTTTTTTTAATCTGCATATATAATATAAAATTTTATTAAAATTAGTAAGCCCTATTAATTTTATAACTATTGTTTTTGACCTATATCTTTATTTTTTTTAATTGATTTCAAATGAATGAGTTTAAACAACATGCCTGAGGATTCTGAATAGCACCAGAGTGGGAGTCTAAATTCGTACTGAAACACAGAGAAAATCTCAACAACAGAGAAAATGAAGCACAATAGTCAAGCTATTGTTCAAATCTGGGAAGATGTCCATGAACCACAGGATCGAGGGATCATTGGTGGCCTCCACACAGCCCCTTAGGAAGAGAACAGCTAACCAGCTTGGGGGCCAGGGGCCACGTGCACAGCTCCTGCTTACTAATCAGGGCTGAGAGGTCTGTATCAAACAGTACATGGGAAGTCAGTGCTTCCCCTACTAACCGCTGGTGCACTCAGCCAGCCAGGCTTAAGGCTCTTCTTTGCCCTTTCTAGTTTCTGCCTCTGTCTAGTTTTCTCATAGTGGCCCCCCTTCCTCTAAGTGGAAAATAGAAAGGGCTGGATGTAGAGCATTGCATCTTAGTCATATGACCCTTTTAGACTTGTGCTACTTCTTCTGGCCCTTTCTTCAAAGTCCAGAGAAAGAAGAAGAGGGAGGAGGGAAGTGCCCAGTCTACTTGGCAGTCCACTCTAGCTGAACACCTGCTCAATACTGGAAAATGGCTTTGGCCTTGGACAAATCCACCACGACTCTGGCTATGAGCTAGAATGTGGCTGCCTTCAGAGCCCAAGTGCACAGTGAAGGGGCCACAGACAATAGAGAAATTGCTGCCTTGTATACCAGGTAGACAAATTCAAGGTGGAGAACAAAAAGAAGGAAAGAAGGGAGGGAGGAAGGAAAGAAAAAAATTGATACCAAGGGAATGGAATTTTATTAAAGAGATTAAGTATGAGTCTGAAATTTATATAGTGCAGAAAAGAAGGCAAATGATTTAGGGAAAAAAATTGCTTGCAATTTCCAAATGAATTGGACTAGATATGTGTAAGTAAAGGCAAGATGGCAAACAGGAAAAATGGTCAGAGGTGAAACAAAGACAAAAATAGCTGAATGAGACAGAGGAGGAGACTGACCAGGGTAAGGATGGAGGGAAAGAGAATCAGTTACACAATCACAACATCACATGCTTCAGCTTAAATAAAGAGCCAAGTGTATGTTAAGGTAGTAAGTGATGTGGAGGACTTGAAACTCCTACTGGAGAGGAATAGGATGAGGAGAAAATAATGAGAATATAATAGTTACAGTGGCAGAAAAATGAACCATAACGTTTAACTAACGTGCTTCTTCAAGAAGAAACCAGATTCATGGGATGGAAGCAGCTTGTTAACTGAAAACTTCCCTGAGTTTCCTGCATGTAAGAGCCACACACATTACAGTTCACTTGAGAAGAAAGGACTAAGGCACAGATAGGTTTGGCATAATTAGTAAATTATGCCACTAGAATGAAAGTCTTAACCTTGACAACATTATGCTAACTGAAAGAAGTCAGTGGCAAAAGCCAACGTATATTTAAAAGTCCATTTATATGAATGTCTGGAATAGGCAAATGTCTAGAGACAGAGATCAGATTAATCAACCTAAGCTGGGGAATGGAGGATGAGTGCTCATGGGTGAGAGTTTTGTTTTTTAGGGTGAAGATGCTCTAAAATTAGTGATGTCTGCACAGCCCTGTGAATACAGTAGAAATCACACAAATGGGCAATTTAAGTGAATTACATCTCAATAAATCATAAAAATTAAAATAAAAAGTTCCTGCAAGAATACTGGCAATAAAAACAATGCAACCACTTGGGGGCAGACAAGTCTGAGCAAAATGCCAGTCCCCAACTTTGATGGAACTGCCACATCATGTCATCTGCATAACCATGTTCTGGACACCATCACCCAAGGCTTCTCTCTTGTTATAAGGCCCCTCTAGTCCTGCTGCCTCCGGACTTTTCCATACCTGGATCTCATCCTCACTGCAAAGCTCCAAGAATCAGGTGAGGGAAAGGAGACAATACATGGAGGGGCAGTGCCACACTTTGAGTGACAGTACCATGACAATGACACAACCCAGTCTGTTCCTGTTCCTGATTTCTGTCTGTGATTGGAAATAGGAGGCCTTATGGGAAGACCTCAAACTGATTCAGAAACTATACGCCAGTAAAACGTGGTAGCATGTACCTCCCAATTACTTAGGAAGATTTCAAATTCCCCACCAGCTGGGAAACACAGCAAAACCCAAAGGGTAAGGGAGCTAGGGGTTTAGCTCAGTAATAGAGCATTTGTCTGTCTGTGTGTGTGTGTGTGTGTGTGTGTGTGGACCTGGGTTGGATCCCCAGCACTGAAACAGTGACAATAAAATCCTCTCATTGTACTAAAAGCCATCTCTGTAGATGTCCGAGAGTTGGTTGTTAATTCTCATCTGACTTCATTTACACCACAAAGATTAATGGGGTATGCATGCAGTACGCCATAGGTCCTTTTGAGAAATATTATCAAGAATCTCAACAAGATGACTTTCATCTTGACTCCCCAGGACCAGACTCCTTCACCTAGTGAATGCACATGGAACACACAGCCTGGAATACCTCACCCTCCTGTGTGGGGTCTTGTTGAGATATGGAGTCAGGGTGGCTAGGTTGGGGAGATTTACTTTTCTAACCAGCTCCCAGATGGGGCCCATGCTTCCACAGAGAAGCTCAAGTTAGTGAGGCCACAGATGGGCGTCCCGTAGAGAATTTCAGTGGTGGGACAGAGTCTTGGGGATGGAAAAGATAGGGAGAAATCTAGGACTAAGGAGCAAGAAGTCTACAAGTATGTCTCCAAGAAAGCTGAACATCAATGGTCCATGCAGGACAATCTGGGCAGGGCCTCCCAGGAAGCCAGATTTCCTCAGGGCTGTGGGCTAAATACCATGGTTTTTGTTCAGTGTTCCTGGGACGCTGCTGATGAAGACATCTGAGTGTGGAGGTCAGAATGGGACTTGCCCCTCTGTCCCATTCAAAGAAAATGATGAGGTCGATGATAGACATAAACAAACCTTTAGCCGGAAGCAGACTAGCCCCAGAGTGACTTCTGCACAGATCTCAAAGCGGGAATCCTGGCGCACCAAAGACTCAAACTTTTGAGCCAGCTGGACGTGCTTGAGAGAGAGAGAGGGGGAAAGGTGCTTGAGTTTCTCATCATCACTGAATTCAAAACTTAACCATCTAGAAAACCCTATTAAACTGCACATCCATAATTCATTTACATACTCTCTGCAATTTTCTTCAAGTGTTTGTGCTGTCCCCTCACCAGCTGTTCCCAAAGAAACTCATTCATTACTATGAAGAAAGGCTTAATGTCCTCAGAAAAAAAAATAACACCATTTTCTTCTGTTCATGGGGCTATTTCTACACCCTTGCCCCTGAAAAATCTGTCTTTTATAATTTTATAACAAAATTGCAAAGAGGTGCTGGAACACTGTAGAAGATATAAAGGCTAACCTTCATCTACCACTTCTTCCTCATGACAACTCACAACATAGTGATGGATACTGGTTTATACCCATTTTCCAGTTCAGGAAACAGGGTCAGAGAGTTAACATGCCCAATATCCTATTGCCATGCCTTCGGAGCTAGGATTCGAATGCAGCTAATGTGAGACTTTCAGTTCTGCGGTTGGTGTGGCTCTAGTTCCATGGTGCTTGCCCCAGAGACACAGAAACCACACATACACCATCACATTCAAGAGCTGCCTTCCTGTCACTGAATAAGGTTGATGTCAACCTGATTTAACTCCTAGATGTTAAGAACTCAAAAACTGATTCGAATTATCTGTGATCCATGGAGAAAAACCTCTCGCGGATTAGGAGTTGTCCTTCATCCAGAACCTTGAGCATCCAGCGCGCTTCTGGTCACCATCACGTGGTAAATGCACCAGAGGAGCTCTGCGCAAGTTCTGGACCAAAGCTTGTTGGGAAATAAGCAATCCCTCTTATGACCACCAGAAGGCGCCAAAGACTTTGGACTCAGGTATCCCCAAAGCAGGCTCCTGCCTAGGGAGGAGGTTTTGATCCAGCCCTTTCCCACATTCCTGCTAAGGTAGGACTGGGAATCCTTTCAAAAAGAGGCGTGATGTGTTTATAACATGAGGCAGCATAATCACAGCTCATTGTCCTTGAGCTTATGGATGAAATCATTGTGGATAGATAAGCCACTAATGTTTTAGCCTTCTTTCTCCAAATAATTTGAATTCAATTCTCCTGCTACTTTTCTCAATTAAGAACATAAGATACATTATTTATAAATTCATACACATGTTCCTTTTCTAGTTTTTTTTTTAACCAGATAGACTCTCATAGTGCTTGATGCTCCATAAATTTTCTTAGAATGGGCTTGAAGCAGACAGGTACCAGTTTGTGGCTTCAAGCATTTAGCAAATGCTTGAAAATAGATGCATTTCTGCATCTCTGTCACAGGGAGGACCCTAACATATCTGACCCCTGCCCTTAGCTGCACAGTTGGTGATGCAGCAGCACCAGGACTTAAAGTTAAGCATTGTCATATCATTAGGGTTAGAAACTACAGGCATGCCTTTCCTGTGAAGCCTGGGGACTTTTGACCATCAGGATGAGGCCTTGGCTTAGAAAGGATCAGAAGAAGGAAGGACCCAGCTTGAAGTCAGCATGCCTCCTGCATCTGGCAAACTGGGTGGGCCTTAGGCAAGTCCTGGTTCATATTCAGGCCTCGGTTTCCCCAGCTGATGAACAAAAATGGTAGAGTAGTGGGATTTGAAGTAGATCAGTGGTTGTCAAATTTAAGTGCATATTATGTGACTAGACTGCTTGTTAAAGCAGGTTGCTGGGACCTGCCGTAGGCCACTGGCACTGTAGGTCAGGAACTGTGTTTGAGAACAATTGGTGTAGATGGTATCTATTCCACACCAACTCTAAAATTCTCCTATTTTGGCAATCTTCTGAAGAAAAACACATTATATTCTCACTTTTGCTTCTTTGCTCACTGAAACTCACTGTGCCAAAAGTACAACCTACATAATGTTTTTACTTTGACCATTGTTATGTTTTGAATGTGAGATGTCCCCCAAAAGCTGATGTGTGAGACACGGCAAGAAGGTTTGGAGGAGAAATGATTGGGTTGTGAGAGCCTTAACCCAATCAGTGAATTAATCACCTGATGGGATTAATTGAGTGGTCACTGAAGGCAGGTGGGGAGGTGGGGCAATGGGCGTATGGTTTTGGGGTATATATTATTTGTGTCTGATAAGATATCTCTCTTTCTCTCTCCCCCTCCCTTTCTGATCATCATGTGAGCTGCTTCCCTCCATACTCTTTTACCATGATGTTCAGCGTCACTTTGAGTCCTGAAGGAATAGAGCTGGCTGTCTATGTTCTGAGCCCTCTGAAACCAACCATCAGCTCTCAAATAAACGTTTCCTCCTCTACAATTGTTCTGGTCAGGTCTTTTAGTCACAGCAGTATAAAGGCTAACTAAAACAATCATCACCCTGGAGCTGATAACCTGTAATCCTAATAGAGGTGTCCTCAAAGATCCATAATTGTGCATTCGACAACCCAAAGTACAGTTTGCATCCTTTACCATATACAGCCCCAATCTGTGTAGTGACATTTCAGTCAACAATGGACCACATGTGCCATGGTGGTCCCCATGGACTGTATCTTCCAATATGGTCCTAGTCATCCTAGTTTGTGCGAGTACATTCTATGATGTTGGCACAATGACAAAACCACCTAATGATGCATTTCTCACAACCTATCCACGTTGTTAAGTAATGTGTGCTTGTATTTACTTACTAAGACATCTGAATTCATTTCTAAGTCCCCTAAGCCCTCCATAGTATTACTGAGATAAAGAATGAAGACAGTACCTTCCGGATATGAGCCTGCAGTCCTTTAACTCCATACATTCTAAAGACAAACCACAATTTCAAAGAGCGGAATCTTCGACCCAGTGGGATCTGCCAGTGCTGAAATAAAATATAATATGGGGTATCAGTGCTTCCTTTCTAACCCACTGGTTGGCTTGTTTCTCTTAAAGGCAACTAGTTCCCTGTGTCTACCCCACTCTGGCTGCACATTTTCCATCCTGGGGTATGAGCAGGGGGGCCACAGAGGGAGGCTGCCTTTGCAAACCTCCTCTGAGGGAAATGAGGACAGGGATTATTGACTTGGGAGGCATTGATGATTATTGTTTTCACTCAACAAATGTTTGCTGAGTTCACAACTGTTCTGGGAAAAAGGCTCGTCAGCGAGCTAACAGGAAAGATGTGGCCCTATTTCTAGGAAGCTTACCACCAGTGGGGGCAAGCAGAGTTTTGCACTGGTGTCTCTGTCTGCAGGGATGGAGAAAGCTGAAACCCACATTTGTCTGCCATATGCTTCCCATGATGTCCTGACACTGTTTTCTAGACCAATACTGATTCCTTTCTTATCTCAGTGGCTGCAGGGGAGTGACACCCAAGACCCCTCTACTGAAAGACATAGCATGTGTCCATGTGTTGGTCCTCAAAGAAGTGTTCCCTCTGCTTTCCCTTGAATTTTCAGACTTTCCTGGCTGACTGCACTTTGCATCCGGTGTGACTCTTGGAAGGTTGAAAATGTAACAAAGTAAGTTGGAAAAGGACAGGGAAGAGAAGGATGGGCAATTCGTGAAGACCGTCTGGTAGCATATCATGGCTTTTTTAAAAAAAAAAAACATTAATATTCTATGAGAACTTAGCAAGATGCTGATGGCAACTCTTTTGTATCTTCTCTTCCTTGAGGAATGAGAGAGGGCCCCCTGCTGGGTGCAGGGTGTCATGATAAGGTGAGGAAGGACCCCCAGACTCACTGGGACTGCCTGTCACCTGGGGCTCCAGAGAAGCTCAGCCTAAGCCCAGCACGGCTCCTGAGTGGAAGGGCATAGGTGTATTTTAAATACAGTCACCCGCCATGCACTGGGGACACGTTCCAAAACCCCCAGTGGAGGTGTGAAACCACAGATAGTACTGAGCCCTACATATTCTGTTCTTTCCTGTACATGCACACCTGTGATAGTTGAATTTAGAAATTAGCCTCAGAGAGAGACAGATTAACACAATGACTAAGAATAAAACAGAACAATTGTAACAGTATGCTGTAATAAAAGTTATTTCAAACTTACGAATTGTTATTTCTGGAATTTTGTACTTAACAGTTTCAGATTGCCCTTTATCATGAGTAACTGAAACCACAGAAAGTGAAACTGTGGTTAAGTGGGAATGACTACAGAGTGTGTAAAATGAATGAAGAGCAGCCATGTCCAAACTGGAAAAGCTTCTCAAGTTGCAAAGAGAAACATGGACCCAATAGCTAGGCTCAGAAGTGATTACAGTGGTTTCCCTCTGATTTTATGCGGGACACTGTGCTAAGTGTATTCACACTTCATCACATTTCATCTTCCTAACAGTGCTATGGAATAGGGGTTCAGATCTTCCCTTTATGGGATGGAAAGCAGGCACGGAGGATGAGATGTCTAATGTCACCAACCTAGAATGTGGCAGAGCTGGAATCGTACCTGCGTACACACAGCTGTTTGTGATTTAACCATGTGTCTGCAAGCTGTTGGGAGGTTCAGGAAGAATTAGGCTAACTTACCTTTTTGGAAAATCTAAAAGAGGAACCTCTCACCACACAACTAACTAACAGCCAGTGAAGCAATGGCTCCCTGCCATTGTTCAGCACGGAGGTGGCGTTCCAAAACCATCCCTTGCCAAGTCAACCTCCTGACAATCGAAATGTGATTTAAGTCCAACGTTTGGAGGAAAAACAAGGCAAACGTAATTTTTATGACACTTGAGTGAAAATGTGCACAGTTTTATTGTTTGCTCATTCAAACATGACTCCCTAATGCCTGTACTGCCTCTCTGAGCCTGACACAGGCCTGGATGAGATGCCCCCGCCCACCACTCCTTTTCACCTGCATGAGACTAGAGTGTAACTCATCAGGAGGGCTGTGATTTCCTGTGCAATCAGCCTCACCTCCTGCTAGAATGTAAGTTTTGTAGAAAGGGACTCTGTCTAGTTTGCTACTTTATTCCTGGCCCCAAGCCCAGCACCTGGTATGACTCAGAGCAGCCCATCCTCACCTTAGGGAATATTGTTGACTTACATACTGAAGCAATCAGCAAGAAAATCCCTCTACCTTCTCACATGGGTCACCCAAAATGACTCTGCATGTGGAAGTCAGTTTGTATTGTCTCTTAGGAGGTGGTGGGGATGGAACCCAGAGCCTTGTGCATATGGGCAAGCACTCTACCACTGAGCTATACCTCTGGTGCTTCGATGTGAGTCTCCAGACATTAGTCATCTATTTCTTGGGACATTCTTCCTCTATAATCAACAATTTAAAAACCAGTACACTGAACCACTCTTGGTAAGCTACCAACATGTACCAGTAGTTGCAGTTTCCTCATCCAAATAGTTTGGGGAAAGGTACAGCTCAATGGGATGAGCTGGTGACCTGGGTCCTATGTTTTTTCTTTCAATTGGGTTCTGAAATTTCTCTAACTTTTTTGAACCTCTATCTCCTCACCTATGCAATGAGCATAAGGATACCCACTTTGCCCATAATCATGTAAATTTTGGGCAAATGATGCTATCCTTACCTCTTTGGTCTTCAGTTCATAACCAGAAAGAATGCAAAATGACTTTGCCAAACCATATGTCCTGAACAGTCACCTCTTAGATCTAACACTGTCTCCTCATGCCCTCATTCAGTGGTGGGTCCACAAACCTGCCTCACCCTGTTCACTTCTGTCATCCCTCACTTCCCTGACTAGCCCAGTGGGCAACATTCTGTCCTGGGAGTCCTTTCCCCTGCCTGGTGGCTCTGATGGTCTTCAGTTTGGTTTTCCAGTCTCTGAAAGAAACAATGATATCATTCATGTTCATATCTCCCTGTCATGCCCCTATTCTCATATACCCTGGTCTTTCTCCCTGGCATACAACTGGATGGTTCCTGGAAAACTTCACCAAAACTCTGTCCTAGGATAAACCATGATGGCTTGGGAAGGCTTCCTGGTCCCCTGCACTCCCAGCTTGTAGCTACTACAGGAAAAGGAAAGGAAAAGGTATGCCTTTGAGGCACAGCCCCTGCTAGCTTATCAGCTGGAGACATGCTGGCCCTGACAGTTCAGCCACATAACCTCTGTCAGGACAGCTCAGCCCTTGCCTTGATGACATCTTAAGCCCACCACAAAAAGAATCGGCTCAGATCACCTCTGAGTTGACACAAAAAGAATTGGGTACAAGTCATGAGGGGGAAGCAGCCAATGCTGTGACCCTACCTCTTTTCTCCTGAGTGTCCCCAGCTCCTACTCACGTGATAAGTCTCCAAACTCTATTTATTGTTTCAAATACCTTTCCAGAGTAAGGCTAGGACAACCCGGTATTTTCAAAATAAACTTTATGGAACACTGTGTCAAATAAAAAGAAGAGAGAAGCAAAGCAATTTGAGGCAAGGATTTGAGATAACTGTCCTTCTGTCTGAGCACCTTTGCTGGTATCTGTGTATTCTCTCACTCCTCAGGATGCCACCTCAGCAACATAACTGCAACAAAGAAAGAAGGGGCTGCATTGTCTCAGGAGAGAGAGCCTTCCTTCCAGAGGAATAGGGGTGCAGAAGTTCCTTCCCCCTGTCTAAGGGTGCATTCAAGGTTATTCTACCTAACCTGGAACCCCTGAATAGTGAGCTCAGCAGATCCACCCAGTGCCTGACAGAGCCCACCTGATTGGTCAGTTGAGACCCAATTAGAAGGTGCTCTGCAGAGGAATCCTGCTCAGGAGAGTGAGGGACAGCATGCCATTCACATTTTGGATTATAATGGACCTAGTTTGATGAGACAAGTTGTCCACTTACCCTGTAGTCAGTGATAAGCCCTGGAGAAAAGAGAAAGAAAAAGAAACCATTAGACAAAAATGTTAACATACATAATCATTTTCATCTTCAAGGTATATTTCTGTATCACAAACACAATCTTTTGAGGCAGATGTAAAACTGCTCGAGGGTTGACTGGGCCTGGGAGTTCCCTGTGGCACATCTCAAGGTAACAGATTCCAAGGGAGTCCTCTGAAAGCACTATGTTCAGGATGCACATTGAAAATGCTGAATTATTAATGAAGCACCATTAGTTTTGTTTTCTGCAGTTGCAGAAGAATGGAAAGCTGAGATTTCATCTAGTGCCCAGTAGTAAGTTACATTCAAATCATGTAAATCATTCATCATCCATTCATTCATGCATGGGAAGGTGAATTGGTGATTCAAAGAGTGATAAAAATAATAAAGAAAAAAATGGAACCTGATGGGAGTATTCATCTCGGTATTCACAGATCTAGTTCAGCATCTGACGCACAGCAGATGTTCCATGAATATGTATCTAACGAGTCAGTTTCCTCATTCTGGATTCAGTGGCTCCACATTGGTTATAAAAAAAATGGATGTTTTGAACGTTAATCTTCCCTCACACCTAAAGCAATACATCCCAGGATCACATGGGAAAAGTACCCTGGGTGAGGACTCAGATGAGTTTCTACAAGTAACCCTGTCAAAGGATCAGGTAAGAGTTATAAGGATATGCAGTAGTAGCTACACCGCTTGGTAGAGGAGTTACGAGCTATGGAAATCTTTTCCACCAACGTAGACCAGGCAAGGCACATTGTAGGCATCCCCTATTTCCTGTGCAATATCGACTGCAGAGTGGTTGTAGCAGAACTTCACCATGTTCAGCCAGGACAAGCAACCTAATAGAACCCACATCCACTACAAAGGAATGTCCACGCTATATTTACAAGAAATCTGAAGTCATTCCCTGACTGCATCTGGTTCCCTGGAAAGACCAGGTATTTTTCTCAGCTAGGATAAGAATGGCAGTGTTGGAGAAAAATGTAGGACCATCAGTATCAGTCCCTTATTTAATGATTTGGAAGACCCTGATATGGAAGCCCACAGTCACATAGCCTGTCTCAACTCCTGCCCAATTCTCTCATTCCTTTATACCCTGTGGTCTCTCATTAGTAACAGAGTTCTTAAATAAATAAAACATAGTAGCAGAGTCATCAGAAGGAAACTGACAGTGATTCACAGAGGCCACGGTACTTGGCATGTTGTAGATACTCAGAGAACTTGTTAAATACCCAGATGACTGTCATAAATAAAAAATGAATAAATGAGTTTATATGACTATTCTATCTAATATGGTAGCCAATAGCCACATGTGGCTATTGAAACTTTAGGTAGTTAAAACTATAGAAAATTGTAAAAAGTAGTTTTTTAGTGTGATGAACCACATTTCAAGGTTTCACCTGCCACCCTTGTCTACCATATTGGACAGTGCAAAATTATAGAATGTTTCCTTTACTGTAGAAAATTTTATTGTACAGTGCAACTTGTAGTTTCAAAGATAAGGATTCAGACACAGCAGCTAGTATAGCAAAACACCATTGATGAAAGATGGAATTGGCTTCTCAGTGAATCTGCTTTCTTCTTTAAGGACTCCTTGAAGAACTGGCTCAACTTTGGAGCTTCCTTGAACAATCATTTACTGTAAACAATAATGAATTCCTATAAACCATTATTTTCCCATGACAATGATCTTACTTACACTTACACTGTCTTAAGAGCTTAATGTGTCTTAATAGGTCTTATGTGCCTACTGTCATTTATTTATTTATTATTTTATTGGTTCTTTTTAGCTAGACATGACAATAGAATTTATTTTTACATAATTATAAAAGCATGGAATATAATTGGTTCTAATTTGGTCCCCAGTACTTCCCCTTCCTTCCTCCCACTCCCTTTTTCCTTCTCTCTACTCTACTGATCTTTCTGCTATTTACTTATAGTTATTTTTTGTTAAATTAGTGACTTGTGAATGTACATGATGGTGAGATTAAAACTTCATAAGATATATGTGGTGTGAGCAGCTTATAAATTTCAAATGATGTATAGATAAAACAGTACAACTAAACAAGGCATAAAAGAAGACTTGCTGAGAAATACAACAATATATCAATAATGTTGGCATTTGAGTGGTTGGATTGTGAAATCTTCTGGCTTAGCATTGACTGTTTTCTGTTTTCCAAATATAAACCTTTAATAATTAAGACTATCTGAAAAGCCTGTGTAACAGGAGTGACCACTTTCCCTTCTCACTAGAATTCTGACAGAACTTTCTGTTATAAAGAAAACACTCATTTATTTTGACTCTAGCTCAATGTCTTCCACTAAGCATCTGTGGACACTGATTTGTTATCCAAGGGGAATTGTTCCCAGGACCTACTGTGGGAGTCAAAATCTAAGGATGCATAAGTTTCTTACATAAAATGGCATAGTATTTGCATATACCCTACATACATCACCTTGTAGACTTTAAATCATCGGTAGATTACTTATCATATCTAATACAGTGTAAATGCTATGTTAATATTTATACTGTATTTCATAGGGAATAATGTCAAGAAATAAGTCTGTAATTGCTTTGCTCAGGTGCAATTGTTTTTGTTTTTGAGCATTTTTTTATTCACAGTTGGTTGGATTAGTGGAGCAAGACCTATGGCTATGTAAGGCCAACTCTACTGGCCCGGGTGAGCTGAGACCACATGTGTGAAGTGCAGCCTTAACACGGGGGTTGATCATCGTCCTGGTAACACCTGCTGCTGGGTGTGCTCCATTCACTCAGCTCCTGTTGGAGATGTGAACAGGATGGCAAGGCTCTTGCTTGCAGATATAGTGTTCTGGTGGGCAAGATGAACAACAGACAAGAAACCAGGGAGCTATATGATTGCAGCTGGAGACAAGATCCAGGAAGAGCACAGAGTGACCTGAGGCTGCTGAGACAAGGGCCCTGTGGCCATGGGAAGGCCCAGAAAGACCTCATCAAGGAGAACACATCCATCCTGAGGCCTCTGGAGAATGCCCATGCAGGGACCAGTTGAGGGTGTTGTGTATAGAAAAGGGACAGGCTTCCAGGGCCAGGCAGAAAGCCAGAGTGTGTTTTTCCACAGAGCCTTGCAATGGAAGGAAGACCAGGCAATACATTATCATCTTTTCCTAAGGCCAACCTGTTTGCTGGGAGGCAAAAGTCTTAGTTTGCTGCCATTTTGGCTGGCAGACATTGGCGCCTCTGCCTTCACTTCTGTTACACTGCTCAGTGCTCTACCCAGGGACCAAAATTACATCCTTTTCCAGTCCAGAGTTTATTTCCTCCCCCATAAATTGAAGTGGTGGGATCAAGTGTTCTGTAAGGTTTCTTCTCTCACTAATATTTTATGGTTCTGTGGACCCAAGAACTCTTGAAGATAATAGAAGTTCCCCAAGATGTGGCCTGTCATTCACTCACTAATTCACACTCTGTGCTGCATCAGGCCCCAAGATAGCCCACACACAGCCACCAAGCTGGCAGCAATGAGAGATTTCAAAAGGAATGAGAAAATTGATCTGCCATCAGGAGGTGCTGTGTCTCAGGGAGAGATACATATGCAACTACCCTCATAGGTTGATTAAAAGTAGCATAATAATTCACTGGAGGGTGTTGGCTTAGGTTGCTCTTATACATTTTACTTGACCAGGATCTCAAATGATCCCTAAAAAAACAAAACAAAACAAAACAAACAAACAAACAAAAACTTACACTAAAAGATGTATTCCTTTAATGTGGTATAACAATGGCTGGATCCTTCTGAAAGTGCCCAGTAATAGAAGTGGTGATAATAAACACCCTTATTTCTGACCTCAAAAGAATGTTTTCATGGTAGTACAGCACTCAATGTGATGATGATATATGTATTACATTTCTTTAATTGGTGAAAGTATTATTTTATTCCTCCTTGGGTAAGAAAATGCTTTGTTCAACAGTTAAGATAATAAATGTATAGCAATTTTATATTTTTAATAAAGTTGTGTTCTTTTAGAAATCCTTAAAATTTCAATAGGTAGGCAACACAGGCACCAGGAAGGGTATTTCTGGCTGAAAGGAAGTTACAGGGAAAGGAAAAAAAGACAGTTTGGAGTGGTTGAAGACAACTGAGAAGAAATGTTAAAGGAGACCAGATGGGAATAGAAGGGGCATGAGCCCTGGTACACATGGGGCTGTACCAGGCAGGCTCAGTTAGGATGCATGGTTAAGGAAGGATGAACACAGCCACAACTAACCAAGACCCAGGGATCCTGTCTCTGAGTGATGGAGAGGAAACCAAAAGGAGGAGAAGACTGAAAATGACTAATGGTGAGCTGAGTCTCCTTGCTGTCAGGGGTCCACTGTGCATAGTGCCCTGTATTTAGGGATCATGTAGGTGGCTTTCTGTGCTGCATGCATGAGCCTTGACATTTAAGGATAATATTGCTAATGATTCTGTTTTTGAAAGCATAGAGAAAATTGAGAGCATTTACAAATAATTGCAGCATCTCGATGTGAGCACTGTGAACATTTTGAAATTTTCCACTCCACACATTTTGGTGTTGCTGAGGTCATTCTCATCATTATCAGACTTTAAACGGCACTGCCTTTCAGGGAAATTTGGATTTCCACATCCTGGGTGCCCTCTCAGAACCCTGCTGTGCTAACTCGTGATTTGGCATTTGATTGTGGCCTATGAACAAGAGTAGTAATTGTGTAGAACATGATGTTTTATGTTTTGTAGGAATTCTGCTGCCTTTTAGAAATGCTTTTTATGAGAAGGCATGGAGGCATCTCTGTTGTAAGAAAAGTTCTAACCCTAAACCACTGTAATGGTCTCATAGGAATAATAATTCTCAAAGGTATGTAAAGCCTTTGTCCTCAGGGTAACACTGTAAGAAGGTGCTGTGGGCCTTTTAGAGGTGGAGACTCAAGGGAGTCTCTTAGGTTATTGGGGGTGTGCCCTCAAAGGGGAGTGTGGCATTCTGCCAGTCCTCTCTTTCTCTCTTTGCCTCTCTCTCTCTCTGCTTCCTGGCTTATGATGTGGGCACTCACTATACTGTGTGCTCATCACCTTCCTCACTGGGTTATGCAGGCACTGGGTCTTTGTCACCACTTCTGTCACCAGTGTCTGGCACAGAGGGCCTGCCATTAAACAAGTGACATGCATATTGGTGTACTGAACCTTCCCAGGGCTTTGTCATATTTTTTCTTTACTCTCCTCCCCTGTAGAATCTTCTTCATTTACTTTCTTCCCTCCTCTTGGAAGGCATGAAAATTCTTTTTTTGGAAAGACGTTAGAGCAGACATTTTGTAAAGGTGTTTCCTTATTAACAGGAAGCATCTGTACCTATACTGAAGTCCCCTGGCTGCACCACTGGCTCCAGATGCTGCTTCTGCCCCAGTCCTGATCAGTGCTGGCTCCATAGATGGGTTAAGGGATCTTTGGATTTCCCAGCACAAAAAAGAGATGTGAGGGGCAAGTACAGATACACGCAGCACCCAACCACTCTGGTGTCTCCCCAGACTTGAACGACCGACTCCTGGCTCTTAGATCCTTCGAATGCAGCTTTGATGAAAACATATGTGGGAACAGATTGCAAGAGCAAGCACCCAACTTACCTGAATCCTGATGGCTGTGCTTCAAGTAAACAGGGTCCAGTTTAAAGGCTCCTGTTAAGTCTGTTCTCTTTTTCACCCTGGGTTTAGAAAAAAAGAAATGATAGGGCTCAAGATGTAGGATTTTGGATTGGTCCATGTTGTCTGCTGTCCCCTTGTGGCTCTGCTTAGGCACCTGCCTCCAGGGCCCTCTCTGGACATACTTCTGTATATACATGGCCTCCTCTGTCCCCAGTTCCCTGGTCTCACTCCAGCCCAGCATGCACCGCTTCCAGAAATAGGGAGAAGGGGATAGATAAATAAATAAATAAATAAATAAATAGTAGGTTTTGTTCCTGGTTCTTGGCACACAGCTCCTAAAAGTTTGGTGGTGATAAGAGTTTGGTGAGATGACTAATGGCTGGGGATCCTACATAGTTTCAGATGGGGACTTCTCGCCAAAAAACTCATGGCATAAACTGACTCAGGTCAAACTTTCAGGCCCCCTCTTCAGTCTCTGGGGAAGGAAGATGGATTGGAGACTGAGTTGGTCGTTTTAATCAATCATGCTAAGTAAGGAAATCTCTGTGAAAAAGTCCTGAAAATCAGAGACCTAAGAGTTTCTGGGTTGATTGACATTTTGAGGTGCTCTCTTTCCAGAGACGATGTGGAAGTTCCAAACCTAGCCCTCTTGCCTGCCTGGTTCTACACTTTGTCCTGTGCATTTATTCATTGCCTGTTCATTTGTAACTTTTATAATAAACCTGTTAACATAAGTAGAACATTTTGTTGAGTTCTTAGTTGTTCTAGCAATTTATCCAACTCAGAGTGGGGGATTATGAGAACCCCCAGCATCAAAGCTATGTTGGACAGAAGGGTGCTACTCGGGGGGTCTGGTTTTTGAGACTGGTACTTGAAATTGAAGCCATCTTGTGGGGCTGAATCCCAAAACCTGTGGGGTCTGTTGCAAACAGAATAGAATTGATTTGTGAAACACCCCACTGATGTCTGCAGAGTTGGACAACTGGTGTCAGGACCGAAGAAAGCTCTGTAGTTGTATTTATTCCTCTGTGGCTCCTGGGCCCAGTGCAACACTTGGCCCCTGATGGTGTCAGTGACTGTACACTGGATGAACACTGAGAGATGCCTAGTGCTGTGCACATGGATCTCTGTCCACCTCTCTGCCTGTGGAGTGCTCACAGCAATCGCCATTCTGGATAACTTGGGTCCAACACTCACTAGGACTTGGATTTGAAGGGCAATTATGCTAATTGCTGCTCTGCTTCATTTGGCAGTGGGGACATCATCTCAAAGCCATTTTATGGCAAATAAAGTATCCTAGGCACCAACTGGAGAAGAAATGTTAATCTGATTGTAGTTTGGGCTTGAAAACAAATACAGTGTGAGAGTCCCTGAGAGATCCAATCCAGTGAGCATGAAATAGGATGCCCAGATGAGGCTTAACAATGAGGAGATGGGAGAGAAAGAGGTTAGATTTATTTATGGAAGATAATTGAGGCTTTGTTTCTTTAAAGGGTTAAAAGACAGACCATGTCAGTGGGCAATCATAAGTTGTCTAGTGTATATTCTCTCTTTGGCGCATGGAAGAAAATCTATTGTACCAAACATTGTGTGTGTGTGTGCACATGGGCATTTTGCTACATCATGAGCCTTTTCTAAGAAGTCCCTGGAGGATTTTTCTTTGGGTCCCTCTGTATTAGGGGAAGCTCTGAGCCTAGCGTTAAAGAGCATGGACAAAGAAAAAGAAGAAGGGGTATGATTATCTACAGCTATCAATAGAATTCCTTCTTCATGAAGACCAGAATTCTCTCATTAATGACTCCAGAAATGATGTTTGAACTCATTATTTTTTTAGTTGTTCAAGGACCTTTATTTTATTTATTTTTATGTGGTGCTGAGAATTGAACCCAGTGCCTCACACATGCTAGGCAAGCCCTCTAACACTGAGCCACAACTCCAGCCCTGAACTCATTATTTTTTAATTTAAAAATATTATGAAGTCATATAAAAGGCAGAAAGAACAATTTCTCTGTCCCCCGATTACGAAATAAAATTTGACTTTTAAGTAAAAGAAATTCTTCCTGTGTGTCCTTCCCCTTAGCCCCTTCCTCTCTGGAGTCCATGACAGAGGCCACAATCTTGAATTTGGGTTTACCATGCCTACGTCATTCTACAAAATCTTTTGCACAAATCCCCAAGTAATCTATAGTATGGTTTTGTTTCTAAATAGACTGTAACAACTTAAGGTGTTTAAATATGAATGTCATCCTTCTCTGCGTATTTTTCTACAACTTACTTTTTCTTATAAAAACAGACTGAATTTCACACTCATTCACACAAGTCACTTGCACTCATTAACTTTTGGTGTTTTTTTTTTTTTTCTTGGTACTGGGGATTGAACTCAGCCACTGAGTCACATCCCAGCCTTATTTTGTATTTTATTTAGAGACAGGGTCTCACTGAGTTGCTTAGCACCTCACTTTTGCTGAGGCTGGCTTTGAACTCAAGATCTTCCTGCCTCAGCCTCCCGAGCCACTGGGATTACAGGCATGTGTCACCATACCCATCGCATTCATTCACTTCTTTTTCCCCTTTCTGTACTGGGGAACCAAACCCAGGGCCTCTCCTAGTCTCCTATGCTAGATAAGTTCTCTACCACTGAGCTTCAGCACTTTTTTTTGAGACATGGTCTCATTAAATTTCTCAGGCTGGCTTCAAACTTGTGATCCTCCTGCTTCAGCTTCCTAAGTAGCTGAGATTACAGGTGTGTATCTCCACACCTGTTGGTTCATTCTCTCTTATTATCTAATTGGATTTCATTGTACAAACATATTACAACCCATTCATTCTTGTGTTGTTTCCCATTTGTTAGTATCTGCTTCTGTGGGCATTCCAGCACATCTCCACTGTGTTTGTAGAATATTCATCTCTTCACGGAAATGGCACAGAGTACTCTTAAGGTTGTACGAATATGTCTACAACCTTACTGGACAAATAGCACTAAATTAGTCTCCACAATGGTTGTGCAGTGTACAAGTTCCTCTGGTTCCATATCCTGACCAAATATCATTTGGAGAGATTTCATTTCCAAAAATTCATAGTGCTTAATGGTGCTTAATTTGCATTGCTGATAATGAATGAGGTTGAGTAACTCTGCATTCACTAAGAAGCCATATCTAGAGTTTCCTATTTGGTGAGGAAAAGTTTGTTCATATTTCTGTGTGATTGCTTGTCTCTGTCATAATGGAACGGAATTATTAGGAATACTAATTTGCATACTTGGTTGGCCTGCTCCAGGTTCTCCTGTGGTCTAATCTCTCTGTCACACCTGTCCTATACAAGATCAGCTCAATCAGTTGCTTTACATGCACTGAAACTTGATTAGGCAAAGTCTCTACCATATTTTTCTTAACAATTCTCTTCATTATTCTTGGCCCATAAAAATATTATGGCAGTTGGGATATTTATTAAAATAAATATTAAGGCTTCCTACCCATGCATATAACACATCACTCTATGTAGTCAGGACTTCTTTAATGAATTCCCCAAAAATACAGAATTTTTGTCATAAAAGTTTGAATAGATTTTGATATATTTATACATAATAACCTCATATCTTTTCTTAGTATTATAAAAAGGATTTTTAAATTTCATGTGTTGTTAATTGTAGACACACAAAAAATGCAACTTTAAAAGTTATTTTACTTAGAAATTTTTCTGTTTCTCTTATTAACGACAACGCCTTGAAGATTCTCTTTATTTCAGTCATTTCATTTGAGAATAATGAGAGTTTTGTATCTTCCATTCCAATTCCTATATTTGCACTTCTCTATCTTTTACTATGCATGTTAGGAATGCACAATGTTGAATAGAAGTGATGATGATAGGAATAATTTTTTTCCTGATCTTAAAAGAATGCTTCTAATATTTCACCATTAAGAATGGGTTTACTATAGTTCTTCAGTAGATACATTTTATCAGTTTAAATTCTCTTCTGTTCCTGCTTTACTAAAACTTTTTGTCCTACCTGGGTATTGAATTTTATGTAGTTTTTTTTGGGGGGGTGCCTGATGTGTTGATAACTTTGTTTCTCCTTCAGCATGACATTTACTAACCTAATATTAAACCACCCTAGCATATTTGGAATAAACACAATTTGGTCATGTAATACTATTTTTTTTTAAATCATTGGATTTTATTGCTGACATTTGACTTTGAATTTTAACTTTTAAGTTTGAGTTTGTTCTACAGATTTTCTTTCTCTGCTTCTCACCTGATTTTAGAATCGCTGCAAAACCCACTCTATGACATAAGTGACACTTGCTGTTCTCTGTGAATCAAATTTGAGATTGGATAGAAATCTCCCCTGGCAGTTGAGTAGGATACTCACTGTTAAAAGAATACAGATATTTCTGCTGTAGGAAAATTTTATTGGAACTTTGTAAGATTGTTCAGGTTTTTGTTATTCTTGAGTCAGTTTTGATAAAAGTGTTTTTTGTAATGATGTGTATTTTGTGGGGCAATTCTTGGCAAGATTTTACTCATAAGTTCTCCCTTATGATTTTTTGAAATCTCTAAAGTACATACAGGTAAGGATGTATAGCTACATACTACAGTGAAGACCTTTTTTTTTTCTACAGCAGTTTATCAGTGATTTCTCCTTTTATTTTATTTTATTTCGAAGGGATTGAACCCAGGGCCTTGCACATGCTAGGCCACTGAGATCCATCCCCGGTCCTCTTTTTATATCTGTTTGGTGTTTCCAGAGATCATTTATTTAATTGCCAGGTCAGGGAGCAATATTTGGCATTGTTGGCTCTCCCTACTGTGTCAATTTTACTACCTCTGTTAACTTTAACTGTTCTCCTCCATTTACTGTTTGAGGGTTTAATTATACACTGTCTCCTGGCTTCATTGTATCCTGAGCTCATGACTTTCTGGCTTTCTTCTTTTCTAGTTAAATCTGTTCTCTAAGTTGTACAGCAGTTGCATGACACAAGTTTTGTTGCATCTTTATTTTTTTCTTGGTTCTTGGTACTTCAAAATACTTCCAATTTCCCATTATATTTTATTCATTGAC